CGCAGACTGCCGAAGTCCTCACCGCCCCCGCACTCTTATCCGCATCTGCGTGGTGCTACGTATTTGTTCGGATGTTGGTGCAGAGTTTGTTTGGTCGACAAGGGGGGATCCAGCGCCGACACAACAGCACATCCGCGTGAGCCTCCGAAAGTGCATGTTTGGGTCTGTTCCTGGGCAGCTCATCGCTGAGAGACTTCGATATTACTCACTCTATCTGCTTACGTACATATATATATGTATATATATATATGTATATATATATATAGATGTATATGCATATGCGTTTATATACGCACTGTTACACACATGCGTACATACATACATTCTCACATACATACACATGTAAGGCAGCATTGGCCCCAACTCGTGCAGATCTGGCAGTGTATGTTGCGCAATATATTTTGCACAATCCACCTTGTGCCTTGGCGCAACACATGCTGTGCAATTTGTCGTGTGCAATAACTGGTGTGCAATATATGTTGTGCCATTTGTTATGCGCAGTATAGGTGTTCCACTCTATGCTGCGCAATATTTTGTGTGCAACATGTGAAGCACAATCCGTGCTTTGCAACTAATATGGTGCAACATGCGCGGTGCATTCCATGTTTTGCAACCGATGGTGTGCAACACACGTCGTGCAATATATGTAGTGCCGTCTGTTGGGTGCAACGTATGATGTGGCTGATGCTGTGCAATCAGCTGTGTCCAACAGGTTCCGTGCAACCCGTGTTGTGTAATTTATATAGTGCAGCATGCGCGGTGCACCCTATGCGTTGCAACGAATGGTGTGCAATTTATACGGAACGAACCACAATGTGATGCAACATATGTTGACGAATCTATGTTGTGTAAGCAACCGCGTGCAAAACATATATATATATATATATATATGTATATATATAGATATGTATACATATATATATATATATATATATATATATATATGCGTGTGTGTGTGTAGTGCACTCCCGGTTGTGCCACATATGTGGTGCTTTCTGTGTAGCGCATTACGCATGATACGCCCTGTGTGGTGCAATCTATGCTGTGCAATACCTATTGTACAATATATTCGGTGCAGAATACATGGTGCAGCGTTTGTGGTACAACCTGTGCGGTGCAATTGGCTACCCTGCACCGCGCCTGATCACCGCCACTGCTCTGGCAAACATCCCACCCACCCGCAACTTGGTTTGTAAAACCCATGACGCGGCGATTGCGATGGCTGGTGCATCTCAACGGCCGCGCCAACCCGCGCATGCGCGCGCAGCGGCCAGCTAGCTTGGCGCGGCCGACGCGGCCGCGGTGGCGCTGACCGCTGGGCACATCCCAGTGGGCACTTCGGTGCGAGTCGGCGACTTAGGCGGGCGCGGTACTATGACAACGTCGACAACGGTAGACGCGATGACGATCGTAGGGATGTTTGTGGCGATATTGGCAACGACGGTCGCGCTTTCACTGCTGGCGTAGATGTGGATCGCGCCAACGACGATGACGGCGTCCTCGCGCCGGCGATGAGAGTTCCGGAAAGAGTTCGACACGCGCTCGCACCCTATGTTCGAAAGTGGCCCGCATGGCATTATTTGACACGGATCTCCCCCCCAGCACGCGTGCAAGGGCGTTCGGATGATTGCGGCATGCGGCGCCAGAGGCCCGCTTGGCAGAGTTCCATGAACATGTTGGACAACAAATGGTTGTCATCAGAATTCGAAAGAGCGCGAACTTCCCCCTTTTTGAAAACTGACGTTGCGAAACCATATGTTTTCATGCATTTTGGACACTACGTTTTGCAATCTCCACGAATTTCGGATTTCGGATTTTGGCATGCGCGCGCGACGACGCGCGCGTGCGCACTTCTTCCAGTTTCGTTTGCAGAGGATTCTCGCGACGGCACGCCAACAAAAAGTGTTCGAACGATTCCGACATGCGCTCGCGCGAAGCCCGTTCCGTAGCACGTTATGAGAAAAGTTGAGCAAACCGATGGTTCTTTAAGGACTTCGCAAGAGCGCGCGCGCAGGTTGCTTGTTTTGTTGTTGAAAGTCCGTGTTGCAAGACCATATGTTTTTGATGTGTTGATTGGGACATTCGATTTCATGCCCGCTACGACACCGAAGGTTTGATAAGGATCCTGGCATACCCGCGCAATGTACTCGGTGCAAGATGCGGAATGGGATCTTTATTTGGTACACACAACGTGGTGCAAAACATGTGTTACAGCATACGTTGTGCAACCGTTGGTGTGGAACATATGTGGTGGCAACCGTTTTTTAAGTTTTAGAAAAAATCTGCGGCCAAATTCATGCAGTGCAACCGACGTGGTGAAATCCATGTCGTCTAACCTATGTTGCGCAACTTGCGTATTGCAATTTATGCGGTGCAACCGGAGTGGCGCAATTCATTTTTACAACCAAGTTGACAGCCCATGCTTTTGCAAACATCCCACACCCACCCGCAACTTGGCCTGCAACACCCAAGCGGGGGCCATTGCGATGCATGCTTGCCGTTGGGTGGTGCATCTCTGCAGCCGCGCCAACCCAAGCAAACGCGCGCAGCGGGCAGCTAGTTTGGCGCGATTGGCGCGACCGCTGTGGTGCTGACCGCTCGGCACATCCCAGCGGGCATTTCGTGCGAGTCGGTGGCTTGGGCGGGCGCGGTACCATGGCACCGTCGACAACGATAAACATGATATTGGTAGTTGCGATGCTGGTGACGATGTTGACAACGACGACGGCGCGGCCAGTGACGGCGCCGATGTAGATCACGACGACGACGATGACGGCGCATTCGCGTCGGTGATGCACTTTTGAGAAGGAGTTCTATTTTTTGACACGGACCGTGCCTCCCCAGCACGCGCGCAAGGGCGTTTGAATGATTGCGGCATGCGGCGCCAGAGGCCCGTTTAGCAGAATTAAATGGAAATGCTTGGATGTTTTCAAACACTGGCAGGGCGCGAGCGCCCGCTGTCTTGAAAACGGTTGTTGCGAAACCGTGTATTTTATTAGTTTTTGGACATTCGGTTTTGACATCGCTACGGAATCGACGGTTTTTGAACGATTTCGGCATACGCGCGCGGCGACGCGCGCGTGTACATTTCGTCCGGTTTTTTGCGCAATGATTGTCGCGACGGCACGCGCGCAAAGGCGTTCGAACAATTTCGACATGCGCGCGCGAAGCCCGCTCGGTTGCATGGTATGACATGTTGAGAACACCTATGGATGTCTGAGGAATTCGCAAGAGCGCGCGCGCAAGTTGATTTCGAAACTCCGTGTTGCAAAACGATGTGTTGTTTAATGTGTTTTGGGGCATTTTATCTTAAGAAGTCTTCACGCAACCAAGAATTTGTGAACGATCCCGGCATGCGCGCGCGACGGCGTGCGCGCATTTGCTTCGTCATGCGTTTGATGAATGAGTTCGCGCGCGTAGCATATTCTGCAAACGATTGTGGGGGGGGCGGATAGCGGCCCCCCTGGGATGGTGCGACTTCGCATTTAGGATGGACGATGGGGCGGCCATGCTAATCGATGTACTTGAGTACCCTGCACCGCGTTTGGCCTCCAGTGCTCGCGCAATCACCCCACCCTATCACCCACCTACACGTTGGCTTTGAAATCCCATGCGGTGGCGATGGCAATCTCGGCGGCGACGGGATGGAGCGGTCACGGGGCGGCGGCGGCGGCCACATAGCCGCCAGAGCGAAGACACGGCCTGGACGACGGTTCGGCGACGGGGCGGCGACGGTGGCCACATGGCCACGAGACCGAAGACGCGGCCCATTTTCTGAGAACAGAAGTGAAAACCCCCCGAGTGCAAGCAATGTTTGTGGAATGTGGTCGCCGGCGTGGACCCCAAACAGTGCGTGCCCAGCAATAGGTGCCGCACGCGGAGCAGTATATGTTGTGTGATATGCGTGGTGCAAGATTGGTGGTGCAGTATATGTGGTGCAACCCACTTTCGAAAACTATGTGCTTTAATACATGTGGTGCCTATGTGGTGCACTCTTGCTGATGCAATCTATATGGGGCGCAGTGTACGTGGTGCAATCGGCGTTGTGCAAGCTCAGTGGTGCAATATATGTTGTCATACCTATGTGGTGCCATAAATGTGATGGAGCCAAATTGGTGCAACATATGCGGCGCAACATATTGAAACAATTTTTCGTTCTGCAATATATGTTGTGCAATCGACGTGCAACATGTGTTTTGCAGCTCCTGTTATGCACTATATGCGGTGCAATATGTTTATACACACGTATACATGAATAGAGTGTGCCACTCATATAGTGCAATCGATGCAGTGTTATATATATATGTATATATATATGGTGTATCGGGTGCACTCTACGTTGTGCAATTTTTGGCGCCGACGGGGCGGCGACGGCTGCCACCTGGCCGCCAGACCGACAGACAAGGCCAGCGACGGAGCGGCGACGGGGCGGCGGCGGCGGCCACGTGGCCGCCGGACCGACAGACGGGCCCAGCTCCCCCAGTAAAGAAGTAAGAGCCCCCAAGGGCAAGCACTGTGTGGGGGGGAATCTGCTGCAGTCGGGGCCCTGAAGAAGGAACCCTGTTCGTTGGGGAGGGGCTCCGCGTTCCTTAAGTCTGTCACAGCTTGCCTCAGGCTTTCCTTATGTTTTCGACAGGAAATCGAAGGTTAACTTATGGATAGAAGGAGCCTCGTTCCTTATTTAGGGTTCCTTAGGTCAACGCCCCGACTGTATAGAACGCCCGCCGAGGGAGTCGGGGGCCCCCGAGAGCGGTGGCCCCATCGCGGCCCTCCACCGCGACGGTGTGCGGGAGCTGCTCGGGGCCCTCTGCCGCAGGGTGCCCGCTTGCTGAGGGGCCTGCTTTCCACCACCACCACCAGCATAAGTTGGATGAGGAGGAGGAAGAGGAGGAGGAGGAGGAGGAGGAGGAGGAGGAGGAGGAGGAGGAGGAGGAGGAGGAGGAGGGAGGAGGAGGAGGAGGAGGAGGAGGAGGAGGAGGAGGAGGAGGAGGAGGAGGAGGAGGAGGAGGAGGAGGAGGAGGAGGGGAGGAGGGAGGGGGGGAGGGGGAGGGGGAGGGGAGGGGGAGGGGGAGGGGGAGGGGGAGGAGGAGGAGGAGGAGGAGGAGGAGGAGGAGGAGGAGGAGGAGGAGGAGGAGGAGGAGGAGGAGGGAGGGGGAGGAGGAGGAGGAGAAAACCTTCTCCCCCTCCCCGCGGCGGTGGCGGTGGCAGACAGGCCCACCGTTTGCTGTCTTCTGGTGGTCGGCTTCGACCGGGCCATCCCGCCCGAGGGCACCCGCGTGCAGTTCCTGGAGGGCGTCGACCCCATCAAGGGGCAGCCGCTGGCCGAGGACGTGCGGCCGCCGGCCGCGAGCCTGTGGCCCGGGCCGGCGGCGGAGCCGGCGGCCGCCCCGGGGCCCGAGGCTCGGCTGGCCACAGCCGGGCATCAAACGCGTCGGGGCGCGAGAGGCCCAGAGATGAAGCAGCGGCGCAGCGTCCTGGCACGCCTGTGGGCCGACCATCGGGTATAGCCAGGACCCCGGGTATAAGGGGACCCGGTCAGTGTCAGGGCCCGGGTAAGGGGACCCGATCAGTGTCAGGGCCTTGGAGCCTTCGAATGGGCCAGAAGCACGAAGCCAGGTTTGCCATATAGCTGGTGTTTTTTCGCGTGACGGCAGTTCCGGTTCGTGGAAATGGGACGGGGGGACGCCCCCGGCACGGATCATTAAACCAGGTTCCACTAAACCCAGTTCTGCCAACGCCCGAGACCAGGGAATATTCTGAGAACCTTGGGTGGTCTGCACGAGATGTCCTTGGAACATGTCTGTCGGGGACGGTCCTGCTTTGGCACATCGGGTTTCTTTTCTGAGAACACTGCGTTTGCTCTTGGAACATCCCTTGGGTTCTAAGAACATTTCGTGGTAGGCCTATGGGACTGCCGGGCCGGTCGGTCCCTGCTCAATTGAGATCCGATGTCGTGATTTTTGTCAATTCGGGGTCCCAAGAAGTCTCGACCCACTCCCCAGGACCAGTTCTTCATCCTGAGTCATCTTTTGACGGTCCCGCGGCCCGGAGAGGGCCCCTTATAGAGGCGGAGAATTGCGAAACACCTCAGTCTTGATTTTGTCAATGCATTGGATCTCTGGGGACATGCAAACGGGGGTCAGCCAGAGCGCCAGATCTTGCAGGACCCTGCAGGCCCAGGGTCGCACAGAACCGGGCTTGGGTGCAGGATCCAGCAGGATCCTGCAAAGCCAGTGGTGCATTGACCCGGGTTTGGGTGCAGAATCCTGCAGGATCCTACAAGGCCTAAGTGACCTGGGTCTGGATTGACCTGGGTCAGCAGATCCCCGAAAGCATTGGCGAAGCGTCTTGGCTTGCCTGTAGGCCCACCAAAGATTGTTCCAACAACCTTTTGTGTGGCCTGCACGAAATGCTCTCAGAGCAGTTCTTTGGCTCAGACTGCTTTGCCGTAAAACATCCGGCTCATGTTCTAAGAACATTGTCGTTGTGAGTCGGGCATTGCTGGGTTCTGAGAAGATGCCGTGGTAGGCCTACAGGACTGCGGGGACGGTCAGTCCCTGCTCAATGTCAGCGGCAGCCAGCGCAAGGGGGAGTCTGTGGGAACAAAAACACAGTCTGTGGGACAAAAATACAGACAGGGTGTGTGTGTGTGTGTTTTCTCCCACAGGGTGTTTTTGTCCACAGTGTGTGTGTGTGTGTATGTGTGTGTGTGTTTGTATGTTTTTTTTCCCACAGTGTTTTTATCCACAGTGTGTCTTTTCCCACGGAGATCGGCTCCGGGGCATGAGCCGTCGAGGCGTTCGGGCGTCCCCGTCGCTCCTCGGCGGTGCTCTGCAGTCTCGGGGTGCGCTCCCGCGGCTGCGCCTCGCCGAGGCTGCGCCTCGCCGAGGGCGCTCCGGGGGGGGGGCCTGGACAGTCCCGATCGGAGGGCCGAGGCATGGTCGGGGGCCCCCAAACGGGGTGGTGACCCCCTCCTCTTCTTCCTCTTCGTCCTCCTCCTCCTCCTAATCCTCCTCCTCCTCCTCCTCCTCCTCCTCCTCCTCATCCTCCCTTTGCCTGTCCCCCCCCCTCTATGGCGATTGGGGGTCGGTGCGTTTCCCCTCGTAGGGTGGTGACCACACCGCGTGGTGAGACGGTGGGGGTTCGGGGTCCCCGCACTGTTTGGGGCTTCGGGGCGTTCTCCGAGGACGTCTCGGGCGACTGGGGCATCCGAGGTGCCAAAACCGTGCGTCGACGGACCGTGCGTTGTGGGGTCTTGGGGGATCTCGAGGTCACCGCACGGTCTGTCACCGCACCGTTTCGGGACTCCAAATACAGTCCACCCGCGGAGTAAGGATGAGCAATTATTGTCCTAGGTTACCCTTGCGCATCCTTGCCCCTTCGGTCCATACCTGGCAGCTTTCGCTGGCCAGCCCCTTGGGGTACCCTTGGGGCGGGCTTTCCAGGGCCATTGCATCCTTACAGTGCCGTTTTTAACACATGCTCCGCGTGCGGATCATGTATTAAAAATGCAGGGAGGTAGTATCAAAAACCACAATGAGTTCATGCATACATACATTCAGACATTAGTCATATATAAAAAATCCTGTGTTTTTTAACAATCCTATGCATTAAAAACTGCCCTGTATCGTGCATCCTTACTCCGCGGGTTGACTGTATGGCCCGAAGGCCAGGGGCGCGCACCGACCCCCCAGGCGCCCCCAGTCGTCGCCGGCAGGGGCTGCGCCTCCCAGGAGAGCGTGCGGATATTCGCCCTCGGGTCGGGTGTGTCCAGGACCCCGGGTATAAGGGGACCCGGTCAGTGTCAGGGCCCTGGAGCCTTCGAGTGGGCCAGAAGCACGAAGCCAGGTTTGCCATATAGCTGGTGTTTTTTCGCGTGACGTGGAAATGGGACGGGGGGGCGCCCCCGGCACAGATCACTAAACCAGGTTCCACTAACCCCAGTTCTACCAACGCCCGATCGGGGGCTTGTCGCCAATCTGTCGGCGATGCATCGCCGGTTCCAGGTCGGTGCTTCCCCCTCGGGAGCCTTGACGGGGGTCAACGCAAACGGGGGTCAGCCAGGGCACCGGATCCTGCAGGATCCTGCGAAGACCCCCTTTTGGCTGACCCGGGTTACCCAGCCGCGAGTCGGCCGCGCCTATTGGTTGACCCGGGTTTGCGAAGACCTGCGTTGCAGTTTTTTTGTTTCCTGCATTTCAGTTTTTGGTTTGCTGCTGACCCGGGTCTGGATTGACCCTGGTCAGAAGATCCCCGACCCCTGTGAGCCAGTCACCCCACATTGTTTCCCCCTCACGCACCTGTCGTGGGGGGACCTGTGGTCATCACCCCCCCTAAAGGGCCCCTTCTCGGGAAGGATCGGGAGCATCAATGATACGTGCGTCGTCTCTCGAGCCGCGTGTGTTACTCGATCGTTCTCTGCACCCAAACTGAGCACCTCTTCCAATTTTGCACGGTGATGGGACCGTCCTGCCTGCCGGACGTGGATACAGTCAAGGCGCTGAATTAAGAACCACTTAGGGCTCAGAAAGGGGCCCTGGTTTCCAGGCCCTTCCTTAGGACTAGGTCGGGAAACCCGATCGCGGCCGAGGCTCGCCTTGGCCAGGAAGGGGGCATCGGCACCCGTCTCCAGAGAACGCCAATACGATGAGATGCCCCAGCGGGGTGAGGATCAATGGGGGAAAAGCCACCCAGACTCGATGATTGGTGTTTGCTAGGCGGCCCTGGGCGTCTACTACGCAGCCCTGCCCGGTTCGATGCCTTCTTCTTTGGGTGCGTCTACTAAACGGCTTCGCGTGTCGGGGTAATTATTTTGAGGGTCTGCTTTCATGCCAAGAAACACCCTGCTTGCCTCAAGGGTGCCCTGGTTTTCTTGGGCTTCGATTGCCTTGCTATGGAAAGCGTGACGTTCCCACACCAGAAATCAATGGACGCCCCCGGGTCTCAGGGTTGGGTGTCTTGTGGAAGGCTTCTTGTGGACTGGCCTCCGCTGCACGATGAGATGCCCCAGCGGGGTGAGAACCACAGCCCACCACCCGGCGGTCGCTGGTCGGCGGAGGGCCCCGCGCAGGCGGCGTGCAGCTTGCCCGAGCTCCTGACGGGCACGGTGGTTGTCAACAAGGACCCCGCGATGCATCCCTGCCCGGGGCGGGGGGAGGAGGGGGGGAGGGGTGGAGGGAGGCGGGATGGAGGGAGGAGGCAGGTGGGAGGAGGGAGGAGGAGGGAGGGGAGGGAGGAGGCAGGAGGCAGGAAGGAGGAGGGAGGATCGGGCCGGGCGAAAGGGGGGGATTGGGAAAGGGGGGGTTACGAAATTTGCTGCATGCAGCTGGTTTCGGCCTTACCGAGGGGCCCGTTCCTCGATACATAGCCGCCTCCGGCGCCGGGAGGCGCCGGGAAAATAATCAGCTACTTGAGCTGATTCTCAAACCCCCCCTTCGCTATCCCCCTCTTTCGCCCGACCCGAGAGGAGGGAGGAGGGAGGAGGGATGGGGGAGGGATGGGGGAGGAGGAGGGAGGAGGGGGAGGGAGGAGGGAGGAGGCCTCGAGGGGGAGTCGGGAGGGAGCAGGTTGCCTCCTGATGGGATAGACTCCTGCGATGCACCAACCCCCGATCCTGGCCGGGCCGGTCCGGGGGGCTCAAGGTCCAGAAGGGGGGCCTGGTGGATTTGAGGCTCCCGCTGGGTGTTGTTTTCAAGGTGCGTTTTGTTTCCTCTCTCTCTTTCACGATTTCTTCGGTCGCAAATCATGGGAGCCTGGTGTACCCTTTTACTTCCGCCTTTAGCGTCGATCCGCGTCGACTAGCGTCTGGGAGTCTATGAGAATGCGCCGATTTAGCGTCGATTAGCTGCGGTTTAGTGTCGATTAGCGTCGATCTAGCGTCGATGAGCGTCGATTCGCAAGAGCCGATAAGATGGTATGGGAGGTTCCCCTGAGTTGCCACCGAAATCTCGGGATGGACTCCTACGATGCACCCTCCCCGATCACGGCAGGGCCAGTCCTGGGGGGCTCAAGGTCCAGAGGGGGCCTGGTGGATTTCAGGATCCCGTGACGCGCGGATTGTTTCCCTTCTCTTTATAGGGGGGCGGCGGTTCAATCGATTTCCTTTGTGGGCGGTTACCTCAGATTCCCTTTGTGTGCGGAGGCGGGCACACATCGATTCCCTTCGTGGGGAGCTACACGTAAATTCCGTTTGAGGGGGAGCCTGGCCTTGGGGGGCAGGTCCCAGGGAAACAGAACACGGTCCTTCCGGATCCACCGGTTCGTCTTGGGGTGCCCAGACATGGAAATAATTGGACCAGTGGATCCAGAGGGTCATGGCGCCAACATCGCAGAGCGGATTTCGTTCGGAAAACGACAGGGTGGGCCCAGATTATCCTAGAGAATTTTGTTCCGGATTGCGAGGTGAATTTCGTTCGTTGTTTTTTTCACGGGAATGAAAACCAAACAACATCCACGCGACATTCACGTCGTTTTTCGCTTGCCGTTTCGGAGAAACATCCACGCAGAAAGCCACGCAAGAAACCGCTGCAGCACGTCTGCAAGGCCGGTGCAATGAGGAGGGGCCGTTGTTTTTTTCTTGGGGCCTCTCCCCTTGGGCCCAGCCCCCTGTTGCGAGGAGGCAGCGCCAGCGACCGTCGGCAGCCAGCCTGTGTATGGGCGGTAGGCCAAGCTCCGCTGGCAGCACCTCCTCCCCGGGGGCAACGAGAGGGAGAGAGAGAGGGAGAGAGAGAGAGAGAGAGAAAAAAAAAAAAAAAAAAACTCTTAACCCGACGAAGGACCCAACCATAGTGGTGAGTGCCGCAGTCGTGAGTATCGTCTTCGGTGGAGCTCTTTGTGTGGGGGCGAAACGTGTGGGGGGTGTGCCAAAATGGAATTGCGGCGGTACGCGGGCAGTGCCACTGGGGCCTTCGGTGGAACTCCCTATAGGGCCACGTATGAGGGGTGCGCCGAAATGGAAGTGGAATTGCCCTCAGACCCTGCCACTGGGGCCTTCGGTGGAGCACCCTTTTGGGCCACGAAGCGTGTCAGGCTGGCGCCGAATTGGAAGTGGACCTGCATTCGGACCCTGCCACTGGGGCCTTCGAGGGAGCACCCTATGGGGCCACGAAGCGTGTGCGGGGTGCGCCGAAATGGAGTGTAAGTGCACACGGACCCTGCCATTGGGGCCTTTGGTGGAGCACGCCACGGAATTCTCGTGGGTGCGCCGACATGGAGGTGGAATTGCATGCGGACTGCCACTGGGGCCTAGGGTGAAGCACTTAAAGGGCCACGGAACGTGGGAAGGGTGCGCCGAAATGTAAGTGGAACTGCATACGGACCCTGCCACTTCCGGTGGACCACCCTTTGGGACCACGAACCGTGTGAGGGTTTCGCCGGCATGGAGATGGAATTACATGCGGACCCTGCCACTTGGACCTTCTGTGGAGCACCCTCTCGGGCCACGAAACATGTGAGAGGTGCGCCGAAATGGAGGTGGAAGTGCATGCGGGCCCTGCTAATGGGGCCTTCGGTGGAGCACCCTATGGGGCCACGAGACGTGTGAGGTGTGCGCCGTGATGGGTGCGGCGGGCGCGTGCGAGCGTAGTCACTGCGGCCTCCAATAGAGCTCCCTATGGGGCCACGAAACGTGTGAGGGGTGTGCCGAAATGGTTGCTTGGTGCGGCGGGCAGAGGCAGGGATGGGAGGTGGGAGGAGCGGGAGGAGGAGGAGAGGAGAGGAGGGACGCGGGGCGCCGCCTCTTCCAAACGAGGACCCAACACCGAAGCGTTGTTGAGAAGAAGAGAAGAGGAACGAGGGAGAGAGCGAAAGTGTGTGAGAGAGAGTGATACTCGTATTGGAGTGGGTCCAGGGTCGACGTGCATGTGTTCCTGGCCATGTGAGCCCCAGGCCCTCCTCCTCCTCCTCCTCTCCTCCTCCTCCCTTCCTCCTCCCTCCTCCCTCCTCCTCCCCTTCTCCTCCTCCTCTCTCTTTCCTCCTCCTCCTCCCTCCTCCTCCTCCTCCTCCTCCTCCTCCTCCTCCTCCTCCTCCTCCTCCTCCTACTGCTCCTCCTCCTCCTCCTCATCCTCCTCCTCCTCCTCATTCTCCTTTCTGGGTTGGGCCCAGGTCTGGCCTGGCCAGGGGCGGTGCTGGTGTGCAGTTGGCGTTCTCTTCCGAGGAGGGGTTCGGCTTCATCGCCCCGGACGGGGACGCCGAGGCGAAGATGCTGTTCGTGCTGCCCCAGTTCTGCTACGCCTTCCAGCGCAAGATCCCCCCACCTGGGACCCGGGTGCAGTACGAGCTGGGGGTGGATCCCAAGAAGGGGGAGCCCCTCGCCAAGAACGTGCAGCCCACCGGGGAGCCTCCCGTGGAGCTGAGCGCCAAGGGCACCAGGGCCTGGGGCGCGGACTGGGACGGAGGCGCGTGGGACTGGGCCCAGGACCAGGACTGGGGCGAGGACTCCGGCGGCGACTGGGGCAGCGCGCCCGCGCCGCCCACGATGCGAGCCCCTCCCGCCGCCGATCCCGACGGGGTGCGCACCGGCACGATCAGCAGGAGCGTCGCCAAGTTCGGCTACGTCGCGCAGGACAGCGGGGAGCCCGACCTCTTCGTGCTCCCCGCGGCGTGCAAGGGCTTCGAGCTCGCCATCCCGCCGCCGGGCACGCGGGTGGCCTACCGCAGGGGCAGGGACCCGAAGGGCATGCCCGTGGCGCAGGACGTCCGCCCGGAGGCGGACGTGCGCCCCGCGAAGGCGCTGCGCGGCATGATCGGGAGGAATCGTGGGCCCCCAAGTTCGGGCGTTGCTGGAAGTGCCCCTGGCCCAGGGTGCCCCCAGGAGTTCCAGGGAGGCCGCTCCCACGGCCTCCTGGGCACGCCCCATGAGGCCCAGGGGGCACCGGGGGCTTCAGAATGGCGCACAAGGCGGGGGGCGCCTTGGGCCAGTGCAACCCCCGACAAGCGGTGTGATGAACACACCGTGTGGTGAGTTGGCTTCTGGGTCACCGCACGGTTTTGGCATGTGGAGCGATCTCCGAGGACGCCTCGGGCGATTGGGGCCTCCGAGGTCCCAAGACCGTCTGAGGTGAGGTCTTTGCGGATTTCGAGGTCACTGCGGGGTCTGTCACCACACGGTGTTTGGACCACCACAGATCACCGAGCGCGTTCCATTACTCGCAACTTGCCTGCTCGCAAACCTCAGAAACATTATCCCGGCAAAGCAACCTAACAGCGATGTGTAGGAGCATATCTGGAAGCATTCCCTTTAAAGATTCAGTTGTAGAATTCTGCTGTTCTCGCAGTCGTAGTCGCATTCGCGATGACAGTCGCAGTGGCAACGGCAGTCGCAGTCACAGCCTCAGCCTCAGCCTGCCTCAGCCTCAGCCTCAGCCTGCCTCAGCCTCAGCCTGCATCAGCCTCAGCCTCAGCCTCAGCCTGCCTCAGCATCAGCCTGCCTCAGCCTCAGCCTCAGCCTGCCTCAGCCTCAGCCTCAGCCTGCTTCAGCCTCAGCCTCAGTCTGCCTTCAGCCTCGGCCTCAGCCTCAGCCTGCCTCAGCCTCAGCCTGCCTCAGCCTCAGCATCAGCCTGCCTCAGCATTCAAAATGTGGCCCGGGAATGGAGTTCTGGGAACTCGAAGAACACGAAGTGGCCTACAATTGGCTCCGGGCATTCAGAATGTGGTCGGGGAATGGAGTTCTGGGACTTCGAAGACCACGAAGTGTGTAATTGTTTGCTTAAAACGACTTCCGCGGATTCTCCCCGGATCCTGCCCGGACCCCCCTGGGGAGTCATGATGCTTTCTTTTGAGACCATTAGAAACCTATCAGTCTTCGCTGTTAGGTAAAAACACACTTTTGCCCCGCAACGCAGTGGATCTTACACCCCACGCGGCGGATCCAGGCCTTCGCGAGTAGTCACTTTGCGAGCAGTGTAATAAGCTTCTCTAAAAGGAATCTCGACAAGTTCGGCTACGTCATGCGGGACAGCGGGGAGGCCGACCTCTTCGTGCTCCCCAGGCATGATGATGTTCAAACCTACATTGGCCTCGACCACCAGAAAGATGCTCGAGCACCCAGGAAGTACCCAACACTGGAGGTCCCTGAAGAGCGATGCACCTGGGAAAGCCTCCACGTGCTGGGCCCTGGGAGGCGATGCTCGCTCGACGCCTCGCCAGTGTCTCGCCGTTCCTTTCGGGGCTGCGGTCCCGCAGTACGAGTGGGAACAACATACAGTCAACCCGCATAATGAGGACGGGCGACCTTCAGGAGGGGAACAAAAAACACAGACACAATTCATCGTCAACTCCCAGGAAAATGGGAAAAATATGGGAAGTGGGGGGGAAGACGAAAACCCAGAAAATATATGGAAATACGGGCAATCCTGTTATTTGTGTGTATTTATGTGTGTGTGTGCCCCAGGGCCCCTTCAGACCTTCCCAAGGGTACCCTCGCAGCCTGGCCGCTTCGGCCCATCCTGGTCCACTTTTGTGGGCCGCGCCCCGCTCGACAAGCTTCGAGATGGGCTTCCAAAGGCCCCTGCATCCTTGTGTCGCGCGTCCTTATGGTAATTACCCTGGCATCGCTCGGACGTATGCGATGCTTTCTCGGCGGGAACCATCGAGGAGCATCCTGGATCCTCGGGCAAAAACAACACACGCGCGAAACCGGAAAACAAATGCACGTGAAAAACGGACGCCCGAGCGACGGCAAGTTGCGGGTCGCCTGTAGCCCAAGGCAGTGCGCAGCCTTCGGCGGCCGCATCCCGCCGGTGGGCACGCGCGTCTCCTTCGCCCTCGGGGCGGGCCCGGGGCTCCCCTCGGCGGAGGACGTCCGCCCCGAGGAGGCCCCGGAGCCCGAGGCCGCCGCGGGGCCCTGGGAGGGCTGGTGGGCGGGGCCCGGCGCGCCGGGGCGGGGCGAGGAGGGCCCGGCCGAGGAGGCGCCGAGGAGGAAAAGATCTCGGGGGCGGCAGAGAGTCTCGAGCGGTGGCGAAGCGTCCTGGCGCGCCTATAGCCCCAACAAGCAATGCTCTAAGAACCTCTTGTGGTCTCCACGAAGTGTTCTTAGAACAGTTCTGGCGGAGATTGTCTTGTTTCAACACATCGGGTTTATGTTTTAAGAACAGTGTGTTTGTTTTTAGAACATTTGTTCTGGTTCTAAGAACATTCCATGGTAGGACTATAGAAATGTCGGCACGGTCGGTCCCTGCTCAAAAGAGGGGGGTGATGGCCAGGCGGGTGGAGGATATCATGGCGTGGGCCTTGATGTTTCCTCAGATCTCATGGCGCCTCTCCTTGTTTCAATGCGTTTCCTGGCCCCCCCTGGGACATGCCGCCAGCCATGATTTGCACACCCCCCTCTTGGACACCCCCCTCTTGGCCGCCCCCGAAAATCGAAGAAAAACAAAAACATACTCCAAATCCCTCATTCATCGACCTCCCCCCAAGAGAACCGGAGCCCCCTCCATCTGCGACCTATAATATTCTGGGCCCCTCTCGTCGACGGGGCGCCTGAATAAACCGAACCCCCTGAGCTCCAATCCAAAGAAAGCGCCCGAACAGACCGCGGCCCGCCCCAGTTACAAAAAGGGCGCCTTAAAAAACCAGACACGGGAGACGATTGAGAAAGGATTTGGAGTAACCACAACTTTTTGACGCTCCGCGCGGGTTTGTTGGATCGGCGCAGGGCCCCCCGTCAGCGCCTCGGGCGCCGCCCCCCGTGCGCCAGGGAGGGGGGGGTCCGTCGCAGATCCAAGAAGTCCGCGCGGAGCGCCAACAAGTTTACGTTTGTGGCGCTGTTTCTTTCTTCCGATGTTCCGAGGAGGAGGGCCCGGCCGAGGAGGCTCTGGGGAGGCAAAGGTAGCCAAAAGTTTGCAATCGAAGGGGCCCAGACCCCATCAAGGTATGACAAAATCACGACGGGCTTTTCTTTTTGCTATTGTCTGCCTTTGGGGGTCCTTACTGGCCTCCAGAACCGTCTAGAGTCGACTTAGGATGAAAACCTTGTCCCGGGGAAGGGGTCGACCTCTGGGGGTCGATATCATGACAAAATCATGACGTCGGTCCAATCCGACCCCCTGCTAAAGCAGACCACCCGCCTTTTATTATGATTTTGGGGATGCCCATGTCGCTACCCTTCGCCCGTTTTCTCTTGTTTGGGCCTCTTAGGAGGCCCTCGTCGCCACCGATGGATTCGCCTTGAAATTCTGGTCAGATCGCACCCCAGGAGAAGTCCAGGGAGTAGCTGTATCAGTTTGGTTTCCCCAGAGGAGGGCCTGGCTGGGGCATTCGCCGCGGAGGCGGCGGGCATCGTGACGCAGAACAAGGGCAAGTTTGGCTTCATCACACAGGACATCGGCCACTCGCAGAGCGGGTAGGAGGAGGGGGAAAGGCTTCTCATAATCACCCCTGCTTCTTAGAGGGCGCGAGCCTTGCCTGTAGATGGAGACGTCTGTAGATGTAATTGAGGCCCACGCATGCTAAGAAGCAGCCTCAGTCTACGAAGCCTTCCCCCCTTCCCCTACACCCCCCGTTTGCCCGCCGCCAAGGACAGCGGGGAGCCCGACCTCTTCGTGCTGCCCGGCGCCTGCTGTGGGGGGGAGGTTCGGGGAACAAGCAATGGCACACAGCGGAAGCCCATGCCTGGAGACACCCTGCTCGTCTCCAGGGTGCCTTGGGGTTTCTCGGGTTTCACTACGGGACGCGTGACGCTCCCGCGCCAGAAAATCAACGGACGTCCTGGGGTCTCAGGGTTGGGGTCTCTGGTGGCCGGTCTCTCGGGCCGAGCGCCTGCTGCATGACTGGTCGGAGGTCCGCGCGGATCTCTTGGATCGGCGCCGCACCCCCCTCACGTGCGCGCGGAGCGCGTCAGAGGCGGCGCCGGAGGCGCCGCCAGGGGGGCTTCAGGGGCAACGATAGGGGGGGATAGGCATAGGGGGGGATGCATCGACCTCGAATCGCCCACTGATCGCCGATAGGGGCCCGATAACCCCGACCTGCCCAGGAAGGGGTCGGATTCACCATCGGGGGCCTGTCGCCGATCCATCGGCGACGTATCGCCGATTCCAGGCTGATGCATCCCCCCCTGTGCCAGTCCCCCACTATCGCTGCCCCTCAGGGGTCCAGCGCCGCTTCGAGAAATTGGCGCAGGCCTCCGAGGGTTTGTGCCTACATACAGTCGAGGCTGAACAGGAGGTCGACCCTGCCAAATCCCTGGCATCGCTCGGACGTGTGCATGTTTTCTCGGCGAGGGCCATCGAGGAGCATCCTTGATCACTTGGCGAAAAAGCCACGCACGAAACCGAAAAAAACACAGGGAATCGACGTCCGAGCGATGGCGAGAATCAAGGGTGCCCGCGTGTCCCCACGTTTGGCGTCCCACGCCCTCTGCATGTGCCTGTGGCAGTCTGGCCCTCGGAGGGGTCGGGAGTCCTCTCGCGTGTCCTCTCCAAGCAGCCACGCCAGGGGGGTCCAGCGCCGCTTCGAGAAATCCGCGCGGACCTCCGAAGGTTTCTCCATCGGTCGTCGAAAGCAAGTAATCTTTGGAGGTTACTTTGGGCGCCTTCCTACTCCAAGGGTCGAGCGGCGTCGCCTCGTCCGTCCGCCTCTGCGGAAGGCGGGCGGCCACCCAGTCTCTTCGTCAACGCCCTCCCACTTCATGCTTCTGCCTGCCTCTTCCGACCTTGCCTGTTGCTCGAGAGTCAGGAGCGGAAACACACACACACAGACGGACACACATTAATCGTCGACTCCAAAGAAAACGTGGGGAGCTGTGGAAAGTGGGGGGGGGAAAGACCAACACCCCGGAAACGTGGGGAGAAATCTTGGGAATCTTTGTGCATGTGTGTGTGTTTATTTTCCACCACCACCACCACCACCGTAGGAGGAGGAGGAGGAGGAGGAGGAGGAGGACGAGGAGGAGGAGGAGGAGGAGGAGGACCTTCGTGTGCCCCAGGGGCCCCTTCAGAGAGGTCCCCCCCGTCGGCACCCGCGTGGCCTACACCATCGGCGCCAACGCCAAGACGGGGCAGCCCCTCGCTCAGGGCGTGCGCCCCGAGGGCGAGCCGGGCCCGGGGGCGGCGGCCGGGGCGGGCGCCGGGGAGGCGTCGGGGGTCGTGTCGCAGAACAAGGGCACGTTCGGCTTCATCACCCAGGAGCTCCTCCTCCTCCTCCATCCTTCCTCCTCCTCCTCCTCCTCCTCCTCCTCCTCCTTCCTCCTCCTCCTCCTCCTCCTCCTCCTCCCTCCTCCTCCTCCTTCCTCCTCCTCCTCCTCCTCCTCCTCCTCCTCCCTCCTCCTCCTCCTCCTCCCCTCCTCCTCACTCCCTCCTCCTCCTCCTCCTCCTCCTCCTCCTCCCTCCTCCTCCTCCCTCCTCCCCTCCTCCGCCTCCCTCCTCCCTCCTCCTCCTCCCTCCTCCCCTCCCTCCCTCCTCCCTCTCCCCCCTCCTCCTCCTCCCCCTCCCTCCTCATCCCTCCTCCTGGCCCTCCTGGCCCCGCCCGCCCCCGCTTCTTGCCGCCGCCCCCTCCCGGCCCCGCTCGCGCGGCCCCTCTCCTCGCCGCCTCCCGCGACCCACCTGGGCAAAGTGCCCACATGCACCACCCCTTTGCTCGTCTGCCCCTCTGGGGGGCCTCCCGGCGAGGCCCTCGTCGCCACCGCCGGCTCCGCCTCGAGGTTCTGGCCGGAACGCGCCCCGGGAGAGGTCCCCGGGGCACGTTCGGCTTCAGCACCCAGGATCTCGGCCGGGGGAAAAGGTGCAGTGGGGGGCGCGCATATCAAGAAGCCAGGAGCTCTTCGCCAGGGTCTCCTGGGTTTCTTGGCTCCGCGTGCTGCTTGGCGACGTCCCGCAGCCGTTGAGGGAACTGCTGCGTCCATGGTGCTCTGGGCTTCCCTTCGGGTGCACCTCACGCGGGTTTTCAGGGTTGGGTTTCGTGCGGCCGCGCCCGCACTGCACCCATAGCACCACCCTTTTCTCGTTTTTTCCTTCGGGGGGCCTCCTGGGAGGCCGTCGTCGCCACCGCTGGATTCGCCTCGGGATTCTGGTAAAAACGCACCCCGGGTGAGGTCCGGGGAGAAGCGGCATCGGTAATTACCTATTGGTTTCCCCAGGATCGGGTCGGAGGAACGCAGACGCCCCCCCTCGGGTCATGACAAAGTCACGGCAGCAAGTTTTTGGCTGTTCTCCGCCTTTGCGAGCAATATTCCCGGGTCCCGGGACCGTCACAAAAACGACTCTGGGCGAAAGGCCAATCCCGGGCAAGGGGCCCAGGCCTCTGGGCATCGACGTTGGGAGACAATCATGACGTCGGGGTCTTGGAAAGTCAACTACGCGTATGAGTGACCATTCGGCAGAGTGACTTTTGGTTCTAGGCCTCCCAGCTGGGGTCGGAGTAGATTGGGTCGGAGGATCGCGCCGCTTCGCTGATGCATCGCCGATGCGGCTCGATGTGCAGCCCAATTTGCTTCACGTCGACGTCGCCGATGCATCGCCGACGTCGCCGGTGCATCACCAGTGCATCGCCGATGCATCGCCCATGCATCGCCGATACATCGCCGATTTATCGGCGATGTTGCGCGATCCTCCGACCCCATCTACTCCGACCCCATCTGGGAGGCCGCTATTGCAAGGGCGCCCTCGAGGGCGCGAAGTTATTCGCGCTTCGCGGTTCGGCTCCGATTCCTCCTCCTCCTCTTCCCCCTCTGGGAGGCGGCGCGAGATTCGCGCTTCGCGCAGCGCGAAGCGCGAAGTTGGGAGCCCTTGCATCTACTCCGACCCCATCTGGGAGGCCTCTATTGGTGCGGGCTCACCAGGGGTCCCCCCGATCTTCGAGCGCGATGCGGCAGCGGCTGCGTGCGCGCCTGGAGGTGGCCACCTCGCGCCCCGTCCCCCGCGCACGAAGGCGTCTCGCCTGCCCAGGATTGCTCTCGCGTGTAGCCTTAAGTCGGGCCTGTCCTCCTACAGGGGGATCTTGGACGAAAAAATACAATTAGTTTTAACACATACCCCCAAATGGTCAGAAAATACTAGAAAAAATAGTCCCCAGACTATTTTTAAAACTATTTGGGAATATTCCCCCTGCAGGGGGACAGGCCCGACCTAAGTGTAGCCGAGAGCGTCTACCTGGGCCTCACCGACGGGGTCGCAGCCGACGGGCTCGGAGGATCGCGCCGCGTCGCCGATGCATCGGCACGTGCGGCTCGCTGTGGAGCCCGACCTTCCCCGCGCCGACGGACGTCGGTGCATCGGCGGCACATCGGCGAGGCGGTCCACCGACCCCATCTGCTCGGACGGCAGCTGGTATCGGGGGCGGACAGAACCCCCAACAGTGAATTGTCCGTTTTCGGTTATCGAGAGGGCGTCGCGGCCGTTATTTTCCAGGCTTGCGCCCGCCAGGTTTGGGTCTCAGGTCGTTTTCACTCAACCACGTTTTACTAAAGGGAGGTCTGTCCATCCCCGATAGTATAGGCCTCTGGCGCGTGGAGTCGGACGAACGTCCGAGGCGGGGGTCTGCCCGCAACGACCGCCTGGGGGATCGATCCTCGGGGACAGCGGCGGGCGGTGGGTACTGTACTTATTCATCGACCCCCCCTAAAGAACCGGACCCCCCTCCAATTGCGACCTGATATCCCGGACCCCCCTCTTCGACGGGGCGCTTTATTCAACCGGACCCACTGAGCGCCAATCGAAAGAAAGCGCCCTGATAGACCGGCTCCCCCCAACGAAAAAGGCGCTTTGGAAAGCCGGACCCGGGGGACGAGTCAGAAGGGACTTGGAGTATTTACCAGCCTGGAACATATCCCTATCCCTATGCTGGGCACCTCCTCATCACGATGCCAATCTTAGGGATTCCCTTATTTTTGAGGGCGAATCCCTAAGATTGTCATCGCCTTTTGGCGTGGCAATCTCAGGGATAGGGACACGTTCGAGGCTGGTAAGAGTATGGACATCTTTGGGCCCCAAGGGGCCCGAACATGTCCAGGGCCACCGCCCCCCTGGGGCCCTGGATAGGCGGGCCCCCGGGTGTGGTGGAGTTGGCCCCAAAAACCCGCGCCTCGCGGAGGCGGTCCTTTCCCCCCCACCGTCGCTGCCTCTCAGGAGGGAAAAAACACAACCCCGCCACAAGCCATCGTCGATTCCCCAGAAAAATATCGGAGAATAGGTACGGGAAGTGGGGGGGAAGACAGAAACCCAAAACATATGGGGGGAAACATGGGGAATCCTGTTGTTTTTTTATATTTATTTGTGTGTGTGTGTGTGTCTTAGGGTCCCTTCCTCGTCTTGTGTGTATTTATTTGTGTGTGTATTTGTTTGTGTATTTATTTGTGTGTATTTGCGTGTGTGTGTGTGTGTGTGAGTGTGTGTGTGTGTGTGTGCGTGTATTTATTTGTGTGACCTCCACCTCCTTCTCCGACCCGGATCGCTCAGGACGCGGGCGTCCCGGGCGAGCTCTTCGTGCTGCCGGGCGCCTGCGCCGACTGGGAGATCCCCCCCGTGGGCACCCGCGTGGTCTACACCGTGGGCGCCGACGCGAAGAAGGGGCAGCCCCTGGCCCGAGGCGCCCAGGGGTTCGCCGGGGCCGCCCACCAACACACTTCTCGTTCGGGGGTGGATAGACCTCCTACCCTGACACGTCGATTAGTGAATTGGCCGTTTTCTGTTCGCGAGAGGGCGTCGCGCGACTGTTTTTTTTGTCGGAGACACTTCCGTCGGTTTCGGTCCCAGGGCGTTTTCACCAAGGGGAGGTTTGCTAAAGGGAGGCTTGTCCACCGCCGACCAACACACCTCTCGTGCGAGCCTTGGCATCGCTCGGGCGTGTGCATTTTTTCTTTCGGCGAGGCCCATCGAGGAGCATCCTTTGATCATTGGGCGGAGAAGCCACGCACGAGACCGAACAAAAAGGCGCGGGGGGGAGGGACGTCCGAGCGGTAGAGAGGAGCGGGGAGGCACTAACTGCCACGGGGCGCCTCGAGGTCTGGAGGCCCAGCGTGCCTCGCTTGAGGCCTGGCATCGCTCGGGCGTGCGCTTTTGTGTTCGGCGAGGCCCATCGAGGAGCACATGTGAGCGCCTCGCGCGAGAAAATGCGCGCACGATCTCGGAGAAGGCACGGGGAACGGACGTCTGAGCGATGGCCAGGATGAGAACGGAGGGGGACGAACAGTGACGTAAACATAAAAGAAAACTCGGAGGTCCGCGCGGATTTCTCGGATCCGTTCTGGACCTCCCTGGCGGCGCCTCCGGCGCCGCCCCTGGCGCGCTACGCGCGAGGAGGGTCCAGCGCGGATCCGAGACATCCGCGCGGACCTTCGAGCTTTGATGTTTACGCCGTTGTTCGTCCCCCTATAGAAGGCACGACGGGAGGCTGTGCGTTCATTTTCGGGCTCTGGAGGCCCTCACCGGGCCTCGGGACCGTCAAAAGCAGACTCGGGAGGAGCAGCGGGTCCCAGGCAATGGGTCCAGACTGCGGGCAAGACTTATATCCATATCCAGTGCTTCTTGACCTTTTTGGGAAGAAGCGCCTCAACGCCGTGACGCACTGGATATGGATAACAACCTAGCCTCTATGGTGGGCAAGTTTATCCATATACAGTGTGCCTCGGGTTTCTGGGGAAGGGAGCCCGAAACTTCATACTGCAGTGAATATGGACAGACATATTGTCCGCACAGACCTCCATGGGGTTCGACGTGCTGAAGCAAAGCATGTCGTCGGGGGTCCGGGAAGCTGTTCTCGTCGTCCCGCGCGGCGGAAGATGACCAGCCGAGCACACGTGGCGGAGGGCCGGAGGGCCGCTGGAGAGTCCCGACAAGCTTCCCGGAGAGTGCTCGGAGCCGAAAGCATATCACGATATGAGTTTGTCTCGCCCTGCGTGCTGCACCGATCCTGGCCAGGCTTAAATTGGGCGTGCCCCTCCCTACAGGAAGAACATTCAAACATAGTAAACAAAAATCGTATGGGGGCGATGGTTCTACCATGTTTCGCATTTTTGTTTTGAGCATGTCTTGACTGTTTTTAATGCTTCGTCCAAAATCGAGTCCGCCTGTAGGAGGACACGCCCGACCCAAGGCCGGGCCAAGCTTGAGCCCAGGGTGGGTGCGGCAGGCTTCCTCCCCGCCGAGCGGGGAGGGGCCACCCGCCGATGCTGGGCCCCTGGGCTGCCGCGGCCAGGGGCCCGCGGGGGCGCGAGAATTGGGCATACATAGCAGCCCGCAGGGGCGGGCACTGCGAAGGGGCCTCCGGGAGCCTCGCCGGGAGCATGTGCCATCGGCGCGCGCCCGTGGATACACGTAGGTACCCGTCGGTCGCTGAAGGCAGGTATTGTGGGACTCCCTGTTCCCCGTCTGCTTCTGGCCGCCTTCCTACCTCAAGAGTCTGGTGGTTTCCCCTCTTCCTCTCTTTAGGAGGCGGGCGGAAACCCAATCTGCTTCCAACGCCTTCCTACTTCATGGTCTACCTACTTCTTCCGACCGATGGGTAGTGTTAAGTCGGACATGTCCCTCTACATGAGGAGTATTCAAAAAATGGTCACACTGCAAGGTCTGGGGACGACGCTTTTACCCTCTTGGTTTGTGTTTGACTATGTTTCATCTTTCTTCCAACATCCGCCTGACAGAGGACATACCCGACCTCAATGCAGTGGTAAGTCGGGATTGCCACTACAAGAGGAAAATTCAAACATAGGCAAAACGTAATATGGGGACGAGGTGTCAATCAGTGTTGACAAATTTTGAGCATGGTTGGACTATGTTTAATTTTCGCCAAAAATCTGCATGTAGGGGGACATGCCAAACCTCAATGTGGTGCCCCCCCTGGGCTATCCGCCCCCCTGGCCCCCGCCGACGGGATCGGAGCAGGCTGGCAGCTGCAGGACGCAGCCCGTGGGAGGTCAAATGCAGCATCGGCGCTGGCTGGATGCTGTTCAGCTCCTCGGGGTATGATGTTCCAACCCATTTTGTCTCGATAGCCAGAAAGAATGTCGAGCACCAATAAAGTACCGAAACTCTATGGTTTTCATGTGTCGGGCCCTGAGAGACACTCGTCCGACACTGTTTCGACACTCTTTCGACACTTTTCCAGGTGCTCGAAATTATTTCTGGGGTGTGGCCTTGGACTGCGATGGGAGCAACATAACCCTCGTGACCCAAACGGGGGTCCAGCTGAAAGGAAGCGGTGCAATAGATTTGGGGCAACCGTATTGCAAATGCACCGCGCCAGAGAGTTGTACTGCACTGTATCGCAGCGACTGTATTGCGTTCGGAACTGCAGTACGTGTCCGCCCAGAAATGTATTGCACACCCAGATCTGCTGCAACCCCACAAATCTATTGCACCAAATCTATTGCACCACCCCCTTCTGGCTGGACCCCCTTTTGGGCCAGCCAGGTCAACTCCGCCTAGACTGGCCCAGCCCTGGGCTCAACCAGAGCTCAGCTCTTCGGGCTCAGTGGCCCCTCTATCGAGCATACCCGGAAACGGCAGGGCCGTTTTTTGTCCACCGCTTCCGAATCATCATTTCTTGAACACGGATGCGGCAACAAAGAGCGGCCCTTTGAAACAACAACAACAGCAACAACAACAACAACAACAACAGCAACAACAACAACAGCTCCAGCAGCGGAAGCGCAACCGGAACCAGCAGACAAGCAGCGACGGAACCGCAAACAAAACGGCGCCAGAAATGGCAATCAAATTTGCACCCGTAAAAAACGGCCTTATCGTTTCCAGTTTCCAGGGCCCACTAAAGGCCTGCAATCTTTCTCACGGACACCTCCCAGGAGTTGCCTCAGTGACCGCCCCGAGGGCGCGAAGTCATTCGCGGTTCGCGGCTCGCGAGTCGCTACTCCGCATCATCCTCCTCGTCCTCCTCTCCTCCTACCGAAGTGGGCGGCGCGAGAGCGCGAAGCTGTTCGCGAAGCGCGAGGCGCGAACTCAGCTGCCCTGGTTGCCTCGTGCACTCGATTTTGACTAGTAGGTCGACCCTGCCAGATCAGCCCAAGCCCTCTGCAGTCCCACGGCAACGCGGCCCTCGGAAAGGTCTTGTGTCTTCCCGCATGTCCTCTCCAATCAGACCCGACTGCATGGACAGTTGCCGCCCTCCCCCTGAAGAGGCGTGCGCCCAGCGGGCGAGCCCGCGCCGACGCGGCGGCGGCGGAAGTGGCAAGCGCCCGGAGGCGACGACGGCCTCGCCGACGGCGGCAGCGCCGAGGCGGAGGCGGTCCCCAAGCGGCCCAGGGGCCTGTGAGGCCCAGGCCCAAAGAACAAACAGATGCACAGGCATAAACTGTCGGAGCTCCGCGCTGATTTCTTGTGTTGGCGCTGGTCTAGGCCTTTCCAGATGGGGTCGGAGTAGAGGGTGTCGAAGGATCGTGCCGCATCACCGATGCACCGCCGACGCGGCTCGATGTCGATCCCGATCTGTTCCACGCCCAGGGTATCGATGCATCGCCGACGTCGTTGATGCATCCCCGATGCATCGCCGATGTATCGGCGATTTAGGGCAATCCTGGATTCCTCCGACGCCGTCTACCCATACCTCATCTAGGAAGCTTCTAGCTGGCCCCCCCAGCGCCGCCTCCGGCGCCGCTCCTGGCGCGCTCCGCGCGCGCCAGGAAGGGGTTCAGCGCTGATCCAGGGAATCCGCGCGGACCTCCGAAAGTTTTATGATTATGCCGTTGCTTATTCCTCTACCAAGGACTCCCTGCTGCGGCCGAGCGGCCTGCGCGGCGGCTTCTGCGCGGGGGGGGCAGGAAAAAGGCAACCATCGGGGGAGGAAGGTACGCGTATCGACACCGCTGCTCGTCTTGGAGAGCCCTCGTCGCCACGGTTGGAATATCATCGGCATGCTGGTCAGAACGCAGCCGGGGGAGTGGGGTCAGCGAATTGGAGGTGTTGGTGTCTTGACGTTCCTCCAAACACAAGACTCGTTTTCGCCGTCGGCCGCACACTACCATGTTGCTTCCTCCTTCCTCTCCAATTCGGCGCGCTCGGGCATCATCTTCCTCTCCCCCTCCTCCCCTCTTCATCCACCATTATTATTATATTGTCCTCCTCTTCCTTTCTCTCCTCTCTCCTCTGGTGCTCCCCCCCGCCGTCTGACCGCACCTCCCCTCTTCTTGACTTGCCAGTATGGGTTCGCTGGGGCTGGCCGTGCGACGGCCATGTGGCCCCACCCCTTCGCGCAAGGGCCCAGCCGGGTAACAAGGAGGCGGAGGAGGAGGAGGAGAAGGAGGAGGAGGAGGAGGAGAGGAGGAGGAGGAGGAGGAGGAGGAGGAGGAGGAGGAGGAGGAGGAGGAGGAGGAGGAGGAGGAGAGGGAGGGAATGGAGGAGGCATGTTGCCTTGCTGCGGCGGCAGTGCCGAGACCGCGGCGGCCAGGACGGACGGCGCGGGCCCGGGGTGGCAGGGACAGCTTGCCGGCGCGTGGGCAGGCTCTGCCCGCCAGGCGCTGCGGGGCAGAGTCCGCCCCCTTGGCTGCGCGCCGCCTCGCGCAGCTGCCGAGGGTGCCCGGCTGGGTCGGCACCTTGCTGGGGCGCCGGCGGCCGCGCCGTGTCGCCCTCTGTCCGCGAGGCAGAACAAAGGCACGGGTGGGCGAGGGAGGGGGGGGAGGGGGGGGCAAAGCGAACGCATACCTCCAAGGTCTGCCGGGTATAGCCAGGACCCCGGTGAAACGGGGGGCCCGTTAGTGATCGGGCCCCGAAGCCCAGAATGTGGATCGGAGTCACTAAACCAGGTCTGCCGCAGATGGTGCTTTTCGGGTGACGGCAGTTCCGGTTGGCGGAACGGGGCGGGGGTGGCGCCCCCCAGTACCCATCCCCAAACCAGGTCCCACCAAACCCAGCTCCGCCGACGCCCGATAAACAACGGCACGGGCGGGCGAAAGGGGGGGGGGGGGGGGGGGGGGGGGGGGGGGCAAAGTTCAGGAAGAAAAAACACACACAGACACAATGAATCGTCGATTCCCAGGAAAAGATGGAAAGATATGGGAAGTGGGGGGAAGACGAAAACCTAGAAAATATGTGGACATACGGGGGATCCTACTATTTGTGTCTATTCATTTGTGTCCTGGGCCCCTTGAGAGAGGGAGGGGGGGGGGGGGGAAAGTGAAGGCATACCTCCAAGGATCTGCTGCTGCGTTGGCACGAAGGCCCGCCACGCTCTCTAGGCTTTGGCGCGCGGGGCGTCCGCAGGCCCAGCGCGTCGGCCAGTTCTGTTGGCGAGCTTTTTCGGCAGCGGGGGCGGCGGTGGACCTTGGCATGGCCTCATCGTCGATTCTCGGCGGTCGGGCCTCCTCCTCCTCCTCCTCCTCCTCCTCCTCCTCCTCCTCCTCCTCCTCCTCCTCCTCCTGTTCCTCCCCGTCCTCGTCGGACCTCCTCCGGCCTCCTCGAACCTCCCCGCTCCATCCGCACACCGCTCCCGCTCCCCCCCCCCTCGGAGCGCGGGGCGAGCTGCGAGACCGCGGCTGCTCCCAGCAGGTCGGCCTCCGGGGCCCTCCCCGCGGGGGCCCGCGCGCACCGCCCCCCCCCCTCCGCGAGCGTCTCGCGGGGGCCCCCAGACGGGGCGGTGGCCACACCGTGCGGTGGGTCGGTGGGGCTGCCTCGTCCTCCTCTTCCTCCTCCTCCTCCTCCTCCTCCTCCTCCTCCTCCTCCTCCTCCTCCTCCTCCTCCTCCTCCTCCTCCCCTCTCCCTCCTCCTCCTCCCTCCTCCTCCTCCTCCTCCTCCTCCTCCTCCTCTCCTCCTCCTCCGTCCTCCTCCTCGTCCTCCTCGTCCTCCTCCTCGTCCTCCTCCTCCTCCTCCTCCTCCTGTTCCTCCCCGTACTCGTCGGACCTCCTTTCGACCTCGTCGGACCTCCCCACGCCATGCTGTCACACTGCTTCTCCCCCCCCCCATCGTCGTCGGCAGGGCCGGACCTCTGAACGGCGTTTGCGGGCGAGCTCTTGGGCAGTGGTCGCGTTTCGGTTTCGTTCATGCGGTGAAGGCGGATGGAAGACAAGGCGAGGGGCAACGAAAACAAACCCTCGTCGGACATGCGCACGCCGCTCCTCCCCCCCCCATCGGCAGGGCTGGACCTATGAACGGCGTGTGGGCGGGCTCTTGGGCCGTGGTTGTTTCGGCTTCGTTCATGCGGTGAGGGCGGATGGAAGGCAGGACGAGGGAGAGCGAAAACGAAAGGAAAACGAAAACGAAGCGAACACAAACAAACAAGCGAACACAAAAGGACAACAAAAACGAAACGAAAGCGAACACAAAGGAAAACGAAAACAAAGCGAACGAAAACAAAGCGAAAGCAAAATGAAACCGAAAACAAAGCGAAAACGAAAACAAAGGAAAACGAACACAAAGCGAAAACAAAAGGAACACGAAAACAAAGCGAGAACGAACACAAAGGAAAACGAAACCAAAGCGAACGAACACAAAGCGAACGCAAAAGGAGGACGAACAACACCGTTGAGGTGCAGCCCTGCCCAGCGGAGCGCAGGCCGAGCCCCGAGACCACGGCGGCTCTCGGCAGGGCGCTCTCCGGGGCCCTCCCGGGCCTCGCCCACGCGCACCTGCTCCCCCGGGCCTCGCCCAGCCTCGCGCTGGGCGTGGCCCTCCACAGGATGAACCTGCAGGCCGCTCCAGTTTTTGTCGGCGCGTGGGCCCGGAGGTCTCGGCGACTCCTCTGTGCAGGCTGGTGCCTCGCCGTGGGTTGCTTGAGCTGCTGTCCTCGGGCCCAGCGAGGACCCCCGGAGGCCAAACTTTGGCATAAACCGGCCGCTCCAGTTACAGTCGGCCCCGATTCGTAGGTCGACCCTGCCAGGTCAAGGGTACCTTTGTGTCTTGTGCCTCGCGACACGTGCCTTCTCACACTCCAATTGCGACGTGGCCCTCGGAAGGGTCTTGTGTCCTCTCGCGTGTCCTTTCCAATCAAGGCCGACTGTAGCGTCGGCCTTGGATTGTGGGTCGACGTTGCCAAGTCGAGGGCGCCCTTGGTGCCCTGCCTGTTCCGGCCGAGGCAGCCCGCAGGTCCTATTGGGTGCTCTGGGGCCCCGCTGCCGTCGGCTGAGCCTTGTGCCCTCTCGTTGTGGAGGACGATCAATGGAGAGGAAGCATAATGCCAAATAATGTCCAGATGTCTAGAACATGTGTTAAAACTGGTTTGAACATGTAAAAGAAAACATGCATTCACATTTCCAGGACACTTTTCCCTACATGTTCATCACATTTTTAATTCGATGATGGGACTGTTAGGGTGTCCATTGTCGTGGCATCCACAGCCCTTTCGTGTGTCCCGTCCACTCGGATCCGACCAGTCGGCGGGCGGCCGTCGGTCGTCGACCAGCGTCGGCGGGCGTCCTGTCCGCCTCGGCGGCGCCCGGTCGCGAAACGTCAGCCACGCGCAGAGGGGGTATAGGGGGGAGGGGGGAAGGCTTCTTAGACGCACGCCTGCTTCTTGAGAAGGCGCCGGCCTTGTCCATGCATGCGAGGCCCGCGCCTTGTAAGAAGCAGCCTCCTTCTAAGAAGCCTTCCCCCCTCCCCCTACCCCCCTCTGCGCGCGGCCAAAAACTGACAAACTGGAACATCTTGAACAAAACCTCGACCTGAACCCCGGACCCCATCTCTCTGCGGAATTCTCCAGGGCGGGATCGAGTCTTGAGGGGCCCCGGGTCCAGAACGGGGCAAGACATATGCCGCGATGAAATCATGCGACGCCACGTTAGGGACGGGTGTCGTGTCGGCGTCACCCCAACATGCTAATGTTATGTGTACGTCGCCCCCCAGGGGCGGCGCGCGCACCGAGAAATCTTATAGTACATGCGTTTCGGCAGGCGCTTTCTGGCCACACCGCTCGGGGAACGATATACTACAAGATGGGTACACTATATGTTCGGGTCGGACGCGCGCCTCCAAGGAGGACATCTAGTCTAGTACTAGTATTATGCTGCTCCAACCTGCTTTAGCCTTGATCACCAGAAAAAAAGATCGAGCACCAAGAAAGTACCGAAACTGGAGGGCTTTCACGTGTCGTGCCCCGGGAGGTGACACTCGTTTGACACTGTTTCGACACTTTTCTGGGTGCTCGATTTTTTTCTGGGATGTGGTCCTTACCCCGAGGGGGGGAGGGGGGTGAAGGGGAGGGGGGTATAGGGGGAGGGGGGTGAAGGGCTATAGGGGGAGGGGGGGAAGGCCCTCTCCAATCGAGTAAGACTGCTGCGTCCCTCTTGGAGCTCTTGCCCTCGCCGAGGCCCCCGCCGCGGCCGCCGGGCGCAGCGCGGCGCAGGAAGATGCTCCGCGGCGCCGGCGAGGCCTGGCGGCGCGCACCGGGGGGGGGGTAAGTCAGGGGGGGAGACAACACACAGACACAATGAATCCTCCACTGCCAGGAAAAGATGGGACAATAGTGGGAGGTTGGGGGAGAGACAAAGACCCAGAAAATATTCGAAAATATGGGGAATCCTTTCATTTGTCAATTTATGTATGTATGTGTGTGTGTGTGTGTGTGTGTGTGTGTGTGTGTGTGTGTGTGTGTGTGTGTGTGTGTGTGTGTGTGCGTGTCGTCGTCCGTCCGTCCGTCCGTCCGTCCGTCCGTCCGTCCGTCCGTCGTCCGTCCGTCCGTCCGTCCGTCCGTCCGTCCCGTCCGTCCGTCCGTCCGTCCGTCCGTCCGTCCGTCCGTCCGTCCGTCCGCCGTCCGTCCGTCCGTCCGTCCGTCCGTCCGTCCGTCCGTCCGTCCGTCCGTCCGTCCGTCCGTCCGTCCGTCCGTCCGTCCGTCCGTCCGTCCGTCCGTCCGTCCGTCCGTCCGTCCGTCCGTCCGTCCGTTCCGTCCGTCCGTCCGTCCGTCGTCGTGCGTGCGTCGTGCGTGCGCGTGCGTGCGTCCGTCGTCCGTCCGTCCGGTCCGTCGTCCGTCCGTCCGTCCGTCCGTCCGTCCGTCCGTCCGTCCGTCCGTCCGTCCGTCCGTCCGTCCGTCCGTCCGTCCGTCCGTCCGTCCGTCCGTCCGTCCGTCCGTCCGTCCGTCCGTCCGTCCGTCCGTCC